ATCCAATTTCTCCAACTGGAGTGGTTTCCTTCATACGTGCTGCACTTCAGGTTCTAGCGGCTGCACGCTTGTGGACACGCTTGTGGGCTGCATTGGCTCAGCAAAGGAAACCATGTCACAACATCTTGAGTTAGATTCGTGACAATAGACTGAGTTCAGGGACTACACAGGAAGTTGATTATTAGTCTCATAAAAAGCGCATTGTTTGTCTTGTCAAAACAGATTTCAGGGGTAAAACCCTAGAGTTAATTTATCACTACATTAAACAAAGAAACTAGTCTAAATAACTGAGAATCCTTTAAAAAGAATGAAATGATTTTGCTAAGCAGCTGACATTATTTCAGATGATGAGTAGTTAACGCTGCCAAAGAGTCAGTTCTCAACCAGCATCAAACTGAAACAGCATTTCATCTGGTGTGAGTGGATTTAATGATGTGATTGTGGTGATAAAATCGACCCGTAGGCTTTCTTACCTCAACAAATGAATTAATCACCGTCAGAATATATGACTGTGAGCAAAACATGGAACTCAAGTTTGCTTTTTCAAGAACATCACCTACAGACCTGTGCAAACCTCTGAGTGTTGAAATATTTTCTCATGAACTCAACAAGTGCTAGATGAGTAATTTTTGGAAAGGATGATGCTGAATTAGAAGCACGGCCCTCACAATCTGTAAATGTTTTAATTATGAAGCACAAACACATGGAGACACGCGGTCATAACAGACCATATTTGTGATGTTACAGCAACATCTGCCTTTTATAACACCTCACGTCATTATCTGCAGGTCAGACTTCAGACTACACCTCTGATGCCAGAAAAACACCTTGCATCTTCCTGTTTCTTTCTTTTTCTTTATTCATCTCGCTGTCTTTCCCAGCCCCCTGCTGCTCCTCTCACAACATCCATCAGTGATTTAATGATTACATAAAGGAATGAGGGCATAATGGGAAGGAGTGCAGGGCGATGACACCATGACCCACATGTTTTCCTCGCTGCTGAGGTGTGTCAGTCATCTTTATCCTTCTGAAAGCTTAAAGCTGCATGAGGCTGCTGGTGGAGCAGGTCTCTATGACCAAGTTAGGCAAAGGAAAATCCAAGAGTAAACTCCTGGTGTCATCAGCTGCTGCATGGAGGGGGCCACTTACTGCACCTCTGATCTTGGATATCTCTGAAACGTATGATGTAACAGTAACTTAGGTTTGCAATTTCCCCTGAACTCCTTAAGCAGCCACCTTTTGTGATTACTGATGACGTCATGAAGGTGAACTTCATGAATGTTTAATGTTACTAAACAACTGGTTGGCTCTGAATAGACACAGATGATTAAGTAGTTTGAAATTCTGGGACAATAACTCAAAAAAACATGCCATGTTTCCTCATGCACTTTCCTTTGATACCATTGTTGTATTTTTCCACTCAGTGCATATATCCATGAATGCAATATCTAGTTTCAGATGCACATGCAACAGCACACTTGCACCTACTGTGCAGCATGACATGAAGAGAATATTTATATATTTTTGTGTTGTTCTGTAGTCGTGTGCAAACCAGAATAGTCAACTTGAGGATCGCTTTGTTTTTCCACTCAAAAAAACATCTGTAATGGACAACAGACTTTCTAATCAGCTCCACGAGAGGAAGCCAATTGGAATTAAAACACGACTAGACTCCCACCAAGCTGTGACCACTGTCCCAGGGGCATGGCTGTAGGAAACCCAAACACTGTGATTATATTCTTGTAATCATTTGTTAGCTGTGTGTGCTGTGCTATGGGATTAGCGTGTCTTGAGAACTCAGGAATTAAATATCATCTTGAACAAAGATGGATGGAAACAACATAAATGTCACTGTATTGCCTGCTGGCTTCAGTAACACACACAGTTACAATTTAGCAAAGAAAATATGAAATTCGTCGACTTTCAATCTGCCATTTTAAGGAGAAAGAAATCCTAAGTAGTTCATTGCCATGTCAAGCTGTACCCATGAAGGTTAATGCATTAAATGCTGTACTTTTGTACTTCTGCCATACAAATGGAATATGCGTAGACAAAGGGTTGCATGTCTGAAACATTGCTACCATTCTTTGCATATTGATGTAAAGTTTGCCATTGTGGGAAATACACTTACTTGTTTTAATGTTGAGAGTTCGATTAATACCACTCTCATATCTGTCTGTTATAATTAACGCTACAGCCAGCAGCTAGTTAGCTTCGCTTAGCACAAAGACTGGAGACAGGGGGAAACAGTTAGCCTGCCTTTAAAGTTCACTAATTAACATTTACCTTGTTTGTTCAATCTGTCCAAAAACTGAACTGCAAAAATGAAAAGCTGCTGGGAGGCAAGATTTTCAAGGGATCTCTGGGTGCTGCTGAGTAGGGAAGCCATGTTGTTCTTCTCCTTTTTTTGACCAATGGAAATGGAAACCAGCTGTCCACATGGTTCAGGTGCAGGTAAACCAGTAAAAATAGACCTTCCACATGTACACACAGAATCCAGGGAATGACGAGATCAAGGAGAAAATGAAATACTTCACATGCTTGAATAGGATACCGAACATCAAAAGTTCCATCGAGGGTGACTTATTAATGTCTGCACTTTTAACACCCAGAGTATACAAGGAGGTGCTTATAATAATAAATGATAATAAAACATTTTATTTGATGGCGCCCTTCATGACACTCAAGGTCGCCTTACATCATAGATACGACAAGCAAAAATAATACATAGCATCATTAAAACAGCATAAAAGACAAAAAACAAAAAAAGTACTTAGAAGTAAAACATCAACTATCAAATTGAAATCAGTGTTACACATTATTACAGTGTGTATGCTAGTTTGAAAAGATGAGTTTTGAGAGCAGTTTTTAAGTAATAGAGTCCAGTGTGGGAGGGAAGAGAGTTCTAGAGTTTGGGTGCAGTGTAGGAGAAGGCCCTAGCACCCATTGTGCCAAGGTTGATGGTTGGTAGTGCCAAATGTGATGGTTGGTAGTGCTTGAGGTGGAACTTCTGTCTTTTTACATCAATTAACTTAACTTAATCTGGTCTTTTTCATTTGGAGATTGTGTTTACGTCAAGCCGGCACCAACTTCTTCGATTTTAGGACAGTTTGTTTTTTATGAAACATCTTCCTCATCAAGAAACTGGTGATTGAAGTATTTAGTGTTTTTGTTCAAGTGTATGGCAAAGAGAAAGGCCTGATGTCATGGGAGTAGAAGTTGTGCAGTTGTCTTCTGTTTATCTAGTAATCACAGAGTTGACTGGATAAAGCTGCAGGCTGTTATGTCGTGTTGTGGTGTTGGTTTGAAGCGGTACAGATGGAGGATGTTTGTGTCATGTTTTGTGTAAAACCTCTGTCTTCATAGTTGGGATTTTGAATGGCAGGTGGTCTCTCTCTCTCTCTCCTTCTCTCTTCCTTCTTTTCTCTTTTTCTTACTTCATTTTCCCACCCCTCTTCTACGAAGTTTGAGACAAAACACAAGATAAAGTGGTTCTTGATTCCAACCCTAAAAAGATAAACTCAAAAACACCAGGTTACACCCACGTACTTCTTGCAGGCATCAAGAATTGAGTATTGAGAAAGTTTGAAAAACCACTTCCCCGTGTTTTTTTTTTTTTTTTTTGCTAAATTGGCAATAATTCAACCCAGGCTTGGCTTGCTCATACATTGCGCCAAAGTGTCAAGTGCTGCATGATTCAAATCAGCATAATGTCCTCATCCTGCATGTCTGCAGAGGTTGTTTTTGTGCTGAAGTACTTTAATGTGTTTTCTTGGAACCTGGAACTCATAAAGTCATGTAAACGTTAGATTTTCATCAATGACCAATACATCCCATTTGGAGAAAATACTTATTTTTCTCTTTCAGCTTTTCTTTAGACCTCTTTCGGGAAAGCTGATGATTCATTATTTTTAAACACTGCTCTCTCTCTCTCTCTCTCTCTCTCTCTCTCTCTCTCTCTCTCTCTCTCTCTCTCTCTCTCTCTCTCAGTCACTCCCAGCATGAAAATATATGACACATGCTTGTTCTTCTTCTCCTCGGTTTCTGGTCTTACTTGTGGAACGCAGATTCATCAAGATGTGCAGGCCCCGTGATCTTCTCTGTCAAGCCCCTCTCCCCTCTTGCTCACTAACCCCAAACTCCTGTCAATGGTTTCCAGCTGTCCGTGGCGTGGCGGTTCTCCTGGGAGAGGAGGAGAGCTCAGCTGGCTCCAGGCCCTGACTCACTCCCCCCCCCCTTTATTGGTTTAGTTTGAGCAAAAACCCATATACATTTGTGTATGATTTGTGGAAAGGAGCTGACGGGGAGTGTGCAAGCAATAGGGCTGTGTTTGTATTTTTGGTCCAAACTTCACATGCTGATTATGTCCAATGTCTTTAATGATAAGGTGAGATTATGAGGTTAAAGGCAAGAACATGAGCTGTTAGCGTAGTTAGCGTGGAGCTGTTAGGTCTTCACCATGTGTTTGGTGATACGACTGGGAATCTGCTGTGAGGGTTAACTTGAAGTGGGTTGAGGGGAGTTGGGGAGCTTGTGCTTAAGAAGACTCATTTTATGTCTTTCATGTTATCTTGATTGGTCTGGTGGTGAGGAACTTCTAAATATAGCCGAGAGCAGTTCAATAGCAGGGCACTGCTTGCGTCACCCTGGGTAAATATTTAGCATTTTGGCAAGAGTCGTGTGCTCTAAACCCCGCTTTTTCCTGAACATTCAGCAGAAAAATCGATGGCGTTGGCTCAGCCTAAGCTTTGGTTGTGGCTGCAGGTGGGCTGGATTTAGGAATTAGTTATTTAAAGGGCAGAGTAGATAGCGCATGATGATTTAATAAAAAAGCAGGGTAAAGGACCAACAAAACAAATGTTTAAAGAGGACAGAACACACATGGACAGACAGATAAAAGTGAGCATTCACAACACATTGGCAGACACACACACACACAGCTTCAGTACACCATTATGTCTGTCTGCTAGTTTTTATAGGACGCTGTGTTTACCTTGCAGGAGTGACGGTGATAACAGTCTGTTGTCATCAAGGTCAGAGGTCGACAGGGGAGTGGGAGTGAGTCTGCAGGCTGCTGATGGAAGGACGTGGTGCTTTGTCACTCCTCATGTCTGGTCAGAAGACAGTGTGTGTTTGACTGGCTTGAGGACTTTTTGTGTGTGTGTGTGTGTGTGTGTGTGTGTGTGTGTGTGTGTGTGTGTGGGGGTGGGGGTGGGGGGGGGGGGGTGAGAGAGAGACTCTGAGTGTGCATGCTCGTGATGCTTTGCAGCAAGCCAACAGTCTGCTAGGAAATGTGTGTGTGTGTAGGTTATGACTGTACTGTGTGATTTTGTGCACACTCACAGATATGCAACATCAGCATGCCTCCACGTTTTGTTTACTACCAATTTCTCTATTTTTGTTAGTTTAACACATAGTTTTTTTAAAGTTACTGAATACAAATTTCTTAGGCGGCACAATGAATGCCTGATCTAAATGTCATGCTTGTACTTTTTTAAAATAATAAGTAGTAAAAACACAATAAATATCGTGTCAGAGAGCTCTTTTCTCTTCTGTTACTTACAAAAGAAATCAGAAAGTTTTGTCAATAAATGGAATTAGTTATTTGACGGTCTACATATCACTTACTTTGCTTACAAGTGCTCTAGATTTACACTAGCAGAAATATCAGAGCTTTGCATTTACACTGTGGTGTGACGCTCTTAACTACTGCTTAGTCAGTTGTCCGGTTCGGCCCAGAGTGAACCATGCATGTCAAACCACAAGGTAAACATTATAATATCAACCGTCAGCTTAGTCAGAGCACTTGTGCTTTACAAGGGCAAGTGGTGAGTAAGAAAACTGTGTATTCTGTGTTAAGGTGTCATCTGCCTCAAAGTTAAATGTAGGTGCAGCTTTGCACGGCTCTGTTGGTAAAGTTAGGTTTGTGGTGAGTAATTTAGTCTGTAGTTAATAACTAACAAACCCAAACTGATTGTCAAGCCAAAGCCTTGTGTATGTCTCCATTAAATCCCCATTTGCTAAATATCGTATGCCACAATAAGTTGAAAAACCTTTAAAGCCCAAGAAAACATGGTTTCAAATCTTAAGTATTTCTTAACAACATTACATATTCATGACAAAATGAACAACAATTAAAATTCAGGGGAAAAAAGTGTTTTTTCTGTTTTTTCCCCCCCTTTAGAGTTTAACACTCAAAACTACAGCTAATCTGCTTCATCAGGAATGTGTGTGTTTTTTTTAAAATCAGATTTGATTGACAGTAGCCTGGCAACATGAGCAAACAGCCCCACAACTGTCATCAGAATGAAATGTGGGTAAATCCTGATGGGTCAGCAGAGATGGATGATGTTACCCTTTTCAAATGGAGTCCAGCCCACTTTAAACCTGTGAGAAATACCCAACAAAAAACACAAATGCAGAAATTCCTTATGGGAAATGACCAAAAATGTTTGGGAAAATTGTCTTTAGGGCCTATGTGTAAGATCACAATGCATATTTTGCTAAATAGTGGCAACAAGTGGCAATTACAGGTAATTCAATATTGTTTTCCTTGTATTACCAAGAATCTCTTGAGTCAGTTGCTTTAAAGACATTATCATTAGGCGACCTGTCTGAAAGCAAGCTTAATGGAGAGGTACATTGTGTTTATTTCTTGTTTACCTTATGATAAAACCAGTGAAATGATTATCCATGGCATTCTCAAATGTAGTGTTAAAGCAAATCTCAGCAAACTCAACTAAAGTCAGATACATAGCAATATCTATCAAAGGTTAGCTAACATTAGCCATTAAAAGCTACAGGTCATACGCTGTAGCACCAAAACTCCTGAGCATACTGAATTGAGCATCTTTTCTTTGGTTTATGAATTCAGCTTTCTATTTGTAACTTACAAAAACTTTAAAAAGTTCCATACAGTTGTGTAACTGACAAATACAAACCTCTGGCAAGACTCTTTAGCTCAACTTTTGTAGCACAGAAGATTGATCTTAAGAAAATGGGGTTGCAGCAGATACTTCAAAGAAGGAGAATTAAATACTCCTCACACGCAGCGTTCAGCCTGGGAAATGTCAGAAGGCATGCGGATGGATATAATCAAGAGAAGTAGCAGCACTGCAGCCTCTGTGCAGAGTTCTACTTCCTTCTTTTGCATTTCTTGTTGGTCTCAGTAGCCTGGTCTCCCTGCTGTGTCAAAACTTTTAAAGTGATGGTCACCTGTAGATTTACCATTTTACTAAGGTGGATTGTAGTTCTGCAGTTACAGTTGATGACAGAGGTTACTACTTTTTACTTTATTTTTAATGTAAACATATTTAATTACATTTAAGTTGATTATATTTTATTTTTTATTATTTTAGGCTCTTTGGGTCACTCTGTTGTTTACATCAAACCTGCTGGTGTCTGGACACAATCAGTCCAGATCATTTCCACCTCCCACACAAGGCCATTTTTTGTCATTCATTCGTTATCAGCACACAAAGAAAGTAAAGAAAGTAAAGATTAAAGGAACATTTCAGGAAATACTTCTAGGGTATATTCCTTACAGAGAGTCTGATGAGAACACTGATACCACCCTCATCGACTGTACGGTAAATATGTAACTGGAGACAGCAGCTGGTTAGCTTAGCGAAGACTGGAAACAAGAGGATACAAACTCTTTTCAAAGGTACTGTACACAGTTCACTTATTAACATGTTATACATGGTTTGTCTAATCCGTACAAAAACTGAAATGTAACTATGAATTATGTGTTACGTCTTGGCCAACTTCCAGTTTTTAGGCTGAGGCCTAAACTGAGGCTTGTATAAATGCATTATGCAATATTCTCTGTGACACTGACAAGAAGACATTTTCACTTTATTTCTCACTTAATTGTTGGGCTTCTGTAAATAACATCACAGAGTACGGTCTAGACCTGCTCTTTTATGAAAAGCGCTATGAGATAACTGTTGTTGTGACTTGGCGCTATATAAATAAAATTGAGTTGAATTGAACTTAACAAACTCTCATCTTAAACATCTTATTTGGGGCAAATGTAATCTTCATGTAAACAAATGGTAAATGAGCTGTAACTATGAATGACACCATCCTATCAAGTCCAGCTGAGACACATCTCTTAGCACAGACTGTCTCGTGCGACAGGAGTTTTGTTTCGGATATCAGACAGGTGTCCGACCGGTTGCTCAGGCCGGCTAACCCCGAGCCCCGGGCCTGGCTCTGGTGCCGTAACGCTGGAGGTCAGAGGTTAATGGAGCAGAGTGGCGCCGGCCAGTCATCCCCCAGGATCCTGGGTGGATTTGGTAAACAGTGAAGCTGTCACTGCAGATTAATACTGGGAGGAGGTAGAACAGGGCCGAGCACACGGGGGGCTAATGGCTCCCAACTCAGCCATGAAAGTGCCTGTCTTCCCCATTCTCCTTTCTCCCTCATCCCCACAGATAAGCCCTACAGGCTTAGAGAGGGAGGAGGGGGAGGAGGAGGAGGAGGAGGAGGAGGAGGAGGAGGACAGTAATAGAGGGAAGCAAAAAGCATTGTAGAAAAATGAGTTATCTCAGAAAAGAGGAACTAACAAGAGGGCAATAATCGCAAGTGCTCTTGAGCACTTGGAACACTATAAAGTAAAGAGAAAAAAGGCTCACATCTAAAAGCTAAATGACCTTTAAGACACTGACATGTTTTTGTTTCTTCCTATTGTGTGGATGTAGAGCTCTGCCCCAAGGTCATTCACTGGTTACAGCTGTAAGAGCACAACCCAACTGCCAGCTCTCCTCTGTGGGGGATCTTTGGGGACTTTTTTTTTTTTAATGAAGCGTATGCAAGCCTTGACACTATGGTTTATCAGTCCTTGCATCTAGATACAAGGGGGCGGCTTCCACCACTGTGTATGCAGCTTGTGTCAAGGCAGGATATTGTATGTCACAGCGTGCTCTAGATTGTGGTTGCACTCTCACCACAACTCATGGCACACAGAGAGAAACAGAAAGATATTAACTCCTGTGGGGGTCTTATCTGAAAATAACATCTTTAATTACATCATGTAAGACTTGGTTTCTTTTTTCAGTAGTGTTTTTCCATATGTGAGACATGATGTTTAGTGGTTTGATCCTTTTCATTTTGTGTTTTAGAATGTTATATTTTTATGTATTTAATGCAGATTTCAAGAAGTGCTTTTAGTTGCCTAAACACAACCATAAAAATGTTTGTCATTTTTAAGTTGCCAGGAGCGTATTTTTCAGGGAAAACTAATTAAATGACTTTCACAGTAAATGTTTTGCAGATATGTTCAACATGAGCACTTTGCATTGGCAGTAAACCCTTAGCAGATATACGCACTTTCTTGTTGTTTCCCACAAAACGTTTTTGCGACTAGCCTACATATTTGTTGCATTTGAACATAATCAGACATTGACAAGCAACAGTAGTTACACTCATGCATAAATATATACATCGTAGGCATTTTTGCACCTCTTTAGTTGAATCTCTGTTTACTTGTTATCCCGGTGTGTGTGTGTGTGTGTGTGTGTGTTTACTGCTAACTGTGTGTGGCCTATCTAAAATATCTGTACTTTACTGTACACAGTCCCACTCATTCCTCCAATTACCCCCGATGCCCCCTCTTAGCTTTGTTGTCAGTTGGCCTGCTGGGTGGATGGGAGTGGGGGCGGGGGTCCAGTGCAGCGGAGGGGGGTTTTGTCTGAGCATATTCCATGCAGTTCTCCATTGTACAATCCTCACAATAGGGCCGAGCCTTTGATCTTGGAGGGGTGCTCTTCTCTCTGTCTCTTCCATCCCTACTGCTCCTCCTCCTCCTCCTCCTCCTCCTCCTCCTCTTCTCTATTTCATTTTTTCTTCCAGTATTAGCCTTGACCCTCCACGTTCCGCCAAGAGGGTCGAGAGGAGAAAAAGGAAATGAAACACTGATTGAAATGAATGAAAATGTAATGAAGTGAAGAGAGGGCTGGGGGACCGAATACAAAGAGAGGAGGAAAAACAACAAAAATCAGTTGTTATATTTTTCTTGTCCTTTCTTATTAAAAGGCCCGGGGGATGTACTGAGATGGCCCTTTGACTGTTTGATTGTTTGTGGTATATTGTTCAGTCCCCTCATGTCTTCGCTGACACAGAGCAGGTGCTGCCAGGGTGAGACTTGAGCCAGGGAAATGGAGGCT